TTTATTACAGATGAGGCAAAATGTGGTTGTAGGAGACTCAAACGTTGCATGTCAGCCGCAGGTCTGGAATTGAAGTACAGTTGTCTACTCAACAGTCCTGTGTTTGGCCTGTTCATTAGGTTGTCTTTTTGTATTTTAAACTGTTGATTTGGGCGGGGGAATTGGGTGTGGATGTTTTTGAACAAGGTACAACTATGCCTTTTTTTAGTAGAAATAGTTTATCTACTTTATTCATCTATTAACTAAAGATTTAATTATTCTAACCTCAATTCTAAGGGTTAGACTATCAGTGCAGTGCAGTCGTATTACTCAGCGTATGGTTCAACTTTACCCCATTCTGCTTTTGACTCCTGGGAGGCTTAACTGAGTGCTGGGAACAAAGAAGGGATGTGCTGTCATTCCGTCCTTCAGCATCGTGTTGAAAAGACAAACATGAGCTAACTAGCAAGAGAAATAATAATCTGCCTTCCAACATTTATTTTAAGCTGCTAAATGGAAGTTCTTAATGCTGCCATCACTCCAAACATTCACCTGTTGGGCTTAGGCTGTACGAGCACCGAGCTTTGGAAAGGTGCAGGGTTGTGTTCTGACTTCTCGGTGTTCACAGCTATATAAGAAACTTTTCTTTGGAGAATGTGGTGGCAATTTGTTTCTTCTTTACGAGCTATAGTCAGAGTGTTTCAGGACCACAAAACAGGCTATTAGTTAGAAGAACTTACAGCGTAAAGTAGATGGCCTTTTTAAATATCTTCTTTTCCAGTCCCTTTAATGTGTCTTAGGGATATTCTGTTATATTTAGCAATGTTTAACCTGCATCTGTTGCTTTTTATAGGTTGCTTATGCAGTATCTACTAGACTGGAGATGAGTAGTCTTCTGATCTTGCTACATGTCAGTTAAAGATTGATCGCAAAGCTCTGTGCATAAACCTTGAAGAGTTCAGTTGAATGGATGTAGTATTTGTGGGTCAGTTTCAGGATCGGGAAGGAAGTTATCTAGTACAGGATCATGTTATTTAACATTGCAATTTAAATTTTAAATATTCTAAATTAGATTGTGAGACCATGGTGTGTGTCAAAAGCTGTTCAAGCACTTAGAAGTCAGGAGCTCTTGGTTCTATGTATCCTTGTAGCACCAGCTTCAAAATCAGGAATGTCTTCCGTTCTTTCTCCCTTCACTTCCCCCACCCCAGAAAGACTTTTCCAGTTAAGTAACTCATAGAGCTAAAATGTAATTTTAATGTAAAATTGTAATTTTACAATTTAGCTCTTCTCATTGGTGTTAGAAGTTCTGAGAAAAGATGCATTGTAGAACTTTAGCTGTCTGCTTGTAGAAAGCAAAATGTTAAAAACACATGTGCTTTCTAAATACAACACTTAGAAAAGGATTCCGAAGCTAAGAATGACAAGATCTTAATTACCCAGTCTTAGGAATGGCTCTGGAGGATTAGTCCTGAATATGGAAGGTGTCTTTCAATGCACTTCATTCTGTGTTTCAGCTACGGAGACATCCCACTAACGCCATTCCAAATTCATTTTTAAATGAGTTATAAAATACCTTTCTTGTTAGTGCTGTGGTTGCATTTGGGGCGCTCCTGACAAAGTAAGTGTCCAGGTCTGTGAGTGCAACTGTGACCTTATTGATTAGGATGAGATGAAAACTATAAAAAAAGACTCTCGGAACTAAGCTTCCCAGGCTGTCACCATTTAGGTTCATAACATCTTTTCAGATAGGTTGTAATTGTCTGCTGAGTTGCTACTTTTCATCATTTACTTTTTTTCTTTTTTTAGGCACTAAGACAGGAATGATTTTACTACTTTATGTACTAAGTTGTGCATTGTGGTATGAATAATAGTCAAATAATTGGCTTTTCTACTTCTTTTTCTGTTCTGATCGATGCTACCCTAAAAGCAAACTTTTAGGGTAACTTAAACCTGTGATCTTGTGTAGGATGAGATTTTTCTCTCCAAAAATAAGTGCTGAACATGAAAATGGATGTGTGGGGGAGTGGGAAACATGTTTCATCTTTCTCTGACAACAGGCTACTGGCAGAGTTAAAAGGTCTTAAAAGTCCGTGGCTTTATTGCTAGATAGACCTTCTTGTGGGATCTTTGTGCAGCTAATCTTGATAGGTATTTGAACTCTGATTAATGTTACTATAGTTTCATCTATTGGATGCAACAAGATTAAAGTTTTGAAATTCATTCCTTCATTCCAGATATTGATCTTAGTTCCTCCTATTCTGCTTTTAAGCATGTCAGCTTTATGGCAAAATTGCTTTCACTCTGGCAGTCTGTAGCTTAGTATTTATTATCTTTTTCCCTCTCCTTTTTGACTAAATTGCTTTGATTAGCCCCCTCGTTTTGAAGAGTAGATTTATTTTATCAGACAGCAAGGTGAAGCAGGGGTGATGGTTCACAGTTATGGTTTTGGCTATACATTATGCTGTGAGATTTTTGTCTTTTTAGCATTATTGCATTCATGAGAAGTAGTATGTGAGCATAAATGCATCTTCCAGAAAAAAAAAATCAGTACCACAAAAGCAGTCTCAGATATTGCTTGCAGTAAAATACATTCTTCTTTATAAAATAATGTGGTGCCTGTAAGCATTAGGATATAGGTTCTAGTGAGGTAAAATGGTCATGAGTAGGTTGGGTGGTTTATCATTCTTTTTGTTCTTAAAGGTGGCTTTGGATTTTATTATTCTTAGTGGAGTAGAAGGGATGCTCTTACCTTCAGCCTGTGTGCCAGTGTGAAAACGTTAACTGAGTTGAATTATAAGAGCTTCAGAACTGCACTGTACAGTTCACAGTGAATATTCATATCTACATTCTGAATTTTGCCCTTTATTTGCAGGGATTGGAGGGTAACATATTTCAGGCATCCAGTTATATCATTCCCTTTAAATGTTTTTTGCTTGATATTTGGAGGAGGTAGGGAAAATCTAAAATAGATATTTGCCTTTGAGGATCCTCTGGAGTTGTCTCTGCTCAAAGCTAAACTCTCATGTTATGCGATGGAAATTTTTCTGTCCTCAGAGAAGTTTGGGTGGTTTTTTTTAAACATCAAGCCTATTGTTAAACCCAGTATTGTCTAAAATTTGGATGACTTTATACATCTCAATTTCCTAATCCTGAGAGAGTTGGATTTGTAGACTTGAAGCAAAGTCTACAAATATATTTATAAAAATATTTTTTTCTCATCTTCACTTTTCTGTGTTTTAGAAGACTTAACACACAAAAAAAGCCCATCCCTTAATATTGGGATGAAGATTATTGGGTATTGATCTTTGTTTCTTGGATTTTTTTTTCTTTTATGTACACACTAAATTAAAAAAAAATTAGGATTTGGTTTATTATTCTTTACTAGAAGCTTAAGTTCTAAGCTGTGTCACTTCAGCTGATACATTTGTTAGTCATATGCCTTGGAAGCATCCTGTATTTCATGTCCTAGTGCTGTGTTAGGTTTGTTAGGTAACATTGTTTTGTTTTTATAACCATAAAGGTGCAACATGGTGAAAACAACACACTCTCATTTGAAAAGTGTAACTGTAGATGTGATCATTATACAAACTATTCCATTATTAGGAATAAGCTCTAGGAATTTGCTTCAGAAGCAAAACAAGTGACTGTCTCAGATTAGAAGGAAACTTTTGAATGAGGTTTGTCCCTTGCTAACATCCACTGGGGGCTGTTTTTACTTGGTATTAGCCCTTATAGTTAACAGGTTATTAGACTAAATTAAGCATTTTTCTGAGTAGGGACTACTACAAGTTAAGTTAAACATTTACATTTCTTAAGCCTCTCTTATCACTGGCGAGGTTTGTTTTCTGTCCTGTAAACAATGACTAGAGGGCGATTCTTTTAACTAGTCTCGATGGAGTGACTGAGCACTGACTATCTGCTCCTGTTCACTCAACTTGTGCAGGTACCAAAGATGCTTGAGCTGTGCCAGCTTTGCTATGGAGCAGAAAACTCTCCATGGATTCAGTTGGATCCAGCTGGGTGTATTAAAATGCAGATAACTAGAGTGACAGATGCACGTGTTAATTTGGTGTTTAAAAAATATAACTGAAAAAAAAAATCAAAGTAAGGACACAAGTCCTTATGCTTTAAGGAACAAACTGACTGGAGCAAGGAAGAAGCTTCTTCATTAAGTTATACTCAGTGTTATAGCAATCCTTGCTCTTTTTCCTTGAAGAACAGCAATTTTCTAATGTCAGAAATTGTATGCTGGGCTAGCTGGACTACCAGCTTCATCTAGGGTGGTGATTCTGGTGGTTTTAGTCATAAGTTTCTAAATAATTCCTAGTTTAGCTCCCAAATATTTCACTCCCTTTGTAATTAATTGATGTTTAATGTGAATTGCTCTGTACACAAGCTCTTGCATCCAAATAGAGTGCTGGCACAGTGAGGCAGTTTATTACTATGCTGGGAGCTGGCCACTTGTTAAATAAAGCAAAGTGTGTGTAGTCAAGAGCTGGCAGCAGGAAAGCGCTCAGGAAAATGTAAAGATGAATTTCTTGGCAGGTGGTTGGAACCTAAGAAGTTTTTGTAGTACAGTGTTAGAAGCTGTTGACACTATAGTTGTGTTTCTGATCATCTCCAGAAGATGTGATTGTGTTCCAAAGTGTTCCCCTTTCATTATAACCTACTGTAGGTCATCACTAAAAAGGAAACCTGCAGGCTTGCTCTCTGTCTTTATTGGTCTGGATTCCCAGGGGTACAACAGCCCTATTGTCAAGCTTACATACCATGTTTTACACCGGGCCCATTCCCCTAAATAATTTAGTCTTGATAAATAGGCATAGATAGCTTGAACATGGCTTAAGTATGCATGCTCTGGAAAGAATGAGATCAGGCAATGGTATATGCTCTTTTTTGTCCCTCTGAAGCACTGAATTTAGCTTCAAGCACTTCATGGTGGAGGATTTTGTAGATTAAAAGGAAATACTGCCAAAAGAGGGAGCTCGAGAGAGCAGGGTGCTCCATTTATTTTTGATGCTGATGACATTTCTCTTACAGGTGAAACAGGCAACCAACCAAATTGTGATGAACTGTGCTGACATTGACATTATTACAGCTTCCTATGCGCCAGAAGGAGACGAAGGTAGGAATGCTTTTCTGCTGGGCCTTTTTTACATGCTGATCTATTTTGCTTCGGATATGAAGCACTGTTGCTAACAGTTAACAGCTCACAAACTGCTTTATAATATTAGCTCTTGAATAGAATTGTTTAGTTTAAGATGTACATTAATAAGTTCTAAATTTTTTTAGTCCATCCTGATGACTGTGGAAAAATAGGGCGAGTATTAACAGTATTAAAGAAACCAGCGGTTTTCTAGATTATAGCTGTAAACAGCTGAGTGGTGTCTAGGTAGATGGGAATCTGCGCTCTAAGGAAGCGGCGTTCGGTGGATGTGCTGTGGAAAAGCGGAGCTCACGCAGGAAGTCCCGGCTGTAGCAAAAGAGGCGGTGGCAGAGAGTATTACCAAATAGCTTGGAACTTGGCCACATAGTTTTGATAGCGAAAGAATGCAGGCCTTGCTGTTCCATACAGTCCAGATTCCTGGATTGTTCCCTGGTGCTCCATTCCTGCATGGATTTCACACCCTGCCGTTAGTGATCTTCAGTTGATTAGATGCACCGTGTTGCTAAGCGCTCGTGGAGCTATTTCTTAATGCTGGGTAATGAGGAGATAAGGGAATGGTGGTAATAAGTGTGTGTACAGAGTATATCCCACCTACTGCTCCATCCTAGGCCCAACTGCAAATTAATTTCTTCTTTTAGCAAAGAGAAGTTGACTGCAAATGGGTAAGGTGCCTAAGAACAAAGGGCCTTTTCACCCCAATCAAGGGAAATCCCTAAAATAAAGAGAGGACGTTTGTGAACTATCTTATTTCCAGAGCTGATTTCTCTCCCCTTTAAGGTCTGTTCTCATATTTTTAACAGTAATATATTCATCTCATTTTCAAAGTATTAAAATCAGAGCTTAATGTGGAATATTTAAGTTTGTATTTTTAGCTGTGTTTTAGCCTTTAGAGCTGAATAAAGTGGGAATTTAAATTCTTTCATTCTGATTTTCAGAAAGGTTTGAAAATAGCAGTCTGATTTTGGGTTAGGCACCCATTTCTCCAATGGTCGTAGCGTAAATATTTAAAATACGTTTTTGTTGCATGGAAAGCATGTTTTCTATAATTAAACACTGTATTCACAGGGTTAAAACATATCTTTCAGTTTGGTAAACTGCCAAATAGTATAATGGCTTTCAAAGTAAAATTGCATGAAATTGGCAGACTATTTGCTGGCACCTGTTAGTACAGATCAAGTCAGTCTTACTAATGCTGCTATTGTGCACTGCTTTTAAATGGTAATTGTGTAACTAGTCTCAAAAACAGAACGTAAAATATAGCCCTATGAACCAACAGAAAGATCAGATCGGTTGGATTTAATTATTTCGGTGAGCCTTTTTACAAATTACCCATATAGAATATTTGAAAAACAATTCTGAGGTGATAGTGCTTTCTCCTTTAAAGGATCTGGGGAGGAATTGCTACCTCTTTTAGTTCTCTACCTCAGCGGGGAAGAATTTCTCGTGCCCACATTGCTAAATGTGAGCTGAGATAATGGGTCACTTTTCAAGTGTAGGAGCTGTGTGACAAGGGGACCGTCTTGTTCAATAGATGTGTTTCCTTTGTCTATGCAAGTGGTCTGTTGACTTCTGTGCAGAATGATTTTTTCTTTTAATATTAATTGCTATTTCTCTTGACTATCTAGTGCATTTGTTGAAGATTAAACTGTAGCTTGTGCAAGAACAGAAATCTTAACTGGAACTGCAGACTGTGTTTTCCCTTTCCTCCTATTCATTCTTCTAGAGATGGATGTAGCAGAATGTAGTCTTTGGAATTTTAATGCAGATTTGCGAGCAAATCAGATTATTGCCCAATATTTGATACAAAGCTGAAAGACCGTCCTCTAAGAACCTTTTAAGCCTTACTTAAAAGTAAGTTTTGATACAAAACCCGCAATTGAGTGAGAGTGAAGAATGAACCAGGAGAGAGTGATTACTCAGAAGTATTGAGTGGAAAAATTCTCAATTTCATCATAAAATTAAAGATTGTAGTGGTTGTGGCTGGAGACTACACATCTGCTTGTTGTTCCACTTAGGTTGCTTCTGAGTTTTCTGTTGATACAGTTTTTATTATCCCCCAGTCATAGGGAGGAATTGTTTTTGTTTTTCAGAAGCTACATTTTGGGGTATTTGTAGTCAGATCATATAACATAGTCAGATAATATAATAATAACATAATTAGTGATTAGGCATGCATGAGCTGTACTACTTTTGCTTATGTGGTTGGCTTTGCTCAGCTAGATGAAGAACTGAGAAGGCTCCAGCAGATGAAGAATTTGGGTATGAGAAGGCAAATCCAAGCAAGTTGGTCATTAAGTTTTAAGGTACTGAGTTTCATACTCGTTGAAGGCCGTGTAGCTTGAGCTTCCTGTGAATGTCTCTTTTTAAGGAGCTGTGAAATTAAGCATGAAGTCATAATCAGCAAATTACATCGTCTTTTTTTATTTAGCTTGGAAAGCTTTTCAGATGCTGTGGGGTCTGAAGCAGCTTCTGAAATGCTGAGATGCTCAAAAAGCAGTAATTGGCAATTTCATATAGGAAACTACAAGTAGCCATAGTAATGTTTATTAAGCAGAAATAATTTAGTGAACTTTTTGGTTTATATTTCAACTTGAAAATGTTTTCCTTAAAGTTGCCTGAACACATTATTTTAGTCTTTCTTCTCACGATGGTAGGGACATGCCTGGATTCTCTTGCCATGTGGTTACAACAGAACCTCAGTTTAGAAACGGCAACCAAAAATTAATTGAAAAGCTAAGCAGCATGACCCAAGAGTATCTCAATGATGCTTTCCAGTGGCGTGGAAATACCAGTGGAATATTGGCTAATATCTAGAGAACAATTTCATGATGAGCATAAGGGGGTGCAGAGTCACTGCTGCTCCTTTGAAAGACACTAGCTCATTAAACTACCATACATTAATTGCCTGTGACTTTGCAATGCCAGAAAGTGGTGGCTACTCAAGAAAGAAAAGGGCTTGTGCAGGACTAAGTGAGCTTGGCTTCTAATATTTATAGCTTCATCTTTAGCACTTGGCTTTGTCTTCACTTTGAAATACATGTACATTTGACATGCTGCTTACAACCTTTGGGAAGGATCCAAACTTATAGGCATGTAATACAGGAATTAGAATCATTAATTGATGTACCATCTGGTTACTGTGCAGTTTCTGGAAGTACTCTGTGAAAGGACTATAATTTCTTTAAGATATTATTGTAAAATTGGATACATAGTGCTCTGTTTGGGAGGGTTGCTAGATCCTATTTTTATGCATTTTTCCAAAGACTTTGAGCACTAACAGCTTTTTATTTTCTCATGCTACTTGGTCCAGATTATGTCCTAATGTGCCAGTGATTAACTCACATCCTTGCCGTGCCAAACTCTCCAAAGTTCGTAGACTGCCAAAATTTTGTTGTTCTCTTCAGGAGCTTTTGTATTCAACTCCGTTAGGAATTCAGACAGCCTTTTACTGCAATTACATCTTTGTTATAAGCAGTTCTCCTAAACTCTTACAAAAAGTATTGTTGACATTTTCCATGGTCCTTTTGTTGTGGGTTAAAATTATTAGCACAGAATAGTTTTAAAAAAAAAAAAAGGTTGAAAATGTGAATCTTTGATCTCGTTTTTATGCCACTGTTTTAGGGATGGCTGTAGAAGCAGCTTCCCTGAGAACTGCACAAAATTTACGGAGTTAAGCCTGGAAAGATGCCAGATTCTAGACACTAACTCATAAAAGAATATGTGTCTTGTGAAGCTTTCAATGAGTTTCCTTTTTTTTTTTTTTTTTTTTTTTTTTTTTTTTTTGCTCCAGCTTTACTTTTGCCATTACTTTTAAATTTTCATTAGAGGATGGGTGTCATGGCAAGTGACACGGTCCTCAAATATCACAACTTGTGGCCTCCTTTTGTGAGGACTGGCCAGAATGTCTGGGGAGGGCACAGCATTGCCGATGGAAGTGGTTGCTTCCAGCCCATTCCAACTATAACTTCTCCAAATGTTGCTTCTAACCTCAGTGGGAATTGTCCCTAACACTAAAATTAAGGTTAAAAGGTTTTGTGAAACAAGATTATTTTCTGCATGTCTTAATATAATTTCTTAGACTTTTTTGGGGGAAGAAAAAAGGCTTGAAGTCTTGTAGTGCTCATAATGCCCTGTGTCTTTGCTAGTGCAGGTTGAAAAGGTTGTGAAGGAGTTGGACTATAATTTGAATGCACTTAGGAGGACGAGACATTTGGGAGAGGAGGGGGGAATCTCATGTTCCTTGTCAACACTTGGCAGCAGAGCTGTGTAACCAGCATTCTTTTATATTTCTCAGTTTCAGTAGATTTGAACTGTGTATCTGGAGTGGTGTTGCTTTTCATCACTATCAGATTGTTTCCATTACGAGCTGCAAAAAGAAATGCTTTTGGTTTGCTCTGGTTCTTTTAAAAATACTTCAGGGTGGGGGGCAGAAGGGGCTGCATTCTGGTACTGGTCTAAATCAGTTTTTGTTCAGCCTCTCAGCACGGGCTGCTCAGCATATGCAGCCTGGCCTGATGTTCCTTCCCGGCCAGCTAACATGAATTTGCACCAAGTATTTGGCCCTTCCTTCCATGTTTGACAGAGGTCACGAGCGTGCTATCTTGGAACAACAGGTTTGTTTTCTGTTGGACTCTAAAGATAGCCAGGGTCAAAATTCATGGTACCCGAGTGGTGCAGTCAGCAATCAGCTCCGCTCCTGTGTGGTACTCAGAAGCCCAGGATTGGCCTGCGTTTTCAGGCTAATATGTTGCACATTAGCATTCTACTGAGTAACATCTCTCTGGCTTATAATGGATCTCTTCCTGCCTCAGTATTCCTCAGAGAAAAACTCCAAGCCTTGCTTTTCTTCCTGGGTAAACTTTGAAGGAGACTGCGAGGCATTGTGCAACATATGTTAGTATTTTAATGTCCTCGGCATGCGTTCTTTTTAAACCGCCTATCTCGTCCCACTTAAAATAGAGGCTTTAAAATGTTGGAGCACCTTAGTCTTGCATTTGTTTCTGTGTTGTATTTTTATAGTTAGGACTATTTTTATTGTACGAATTTTGTGTTATACACCCTATTACAGTGGTTAACACTGATAAGCCCTGAGCAGAGTACCGTGAAACCAGTAGTTAAGATGAATGCGTTCATGGAGCTTCTGCATTTATGTTCTGTGAGCAGAGGTTGGTATTTACTCTGTGTGACTTAATACTGAAATCATAATATTTCAGAATAAGTAGCACTTTATTTTATAAAAACAAAAAGCCGTTTGCTGTTAACTTTATCACATAAGGAACGGCTTCACTGAGCTGAGCATTTGAGTATGCTTAGGTTCCCTTTGAAATTGTATACTTGAATTCTTGTAGTGATACTTGATCCTGGAGAATCTTCAGCACTGAATTGTTTCAAACAAGGTTTGTTGGTCCGAATTCTCCATCGGGAAGAAGTTGGTGCAAGGGTGTGTTTTTCATTTAGTGTGTCCACTTCTATGTACCACAGCAGTTTCCAGGGTGTTTATCTCTTTTTCCCTGGGACTGTACAAAAATTAGGAGCTATTCCAGTAAATAACCGGAGCTATCTGCTAAGTAGGTTTTCCTAAGAGAATTTTGAAAGTACCTGAAAAGACTGTGTGACCCTTGCTAGCATTTCAGTATCCTAGGTGTTTCCGCTTTGAATTCACTGATGTAAGTGGGATGGGGTAGACACCCTAGATTAGCCTGTAACACCAGTATTTTAAACTAGTCTGTGCCTTTCCTGAATCCTTCAGAAATATTTGGAACTGTGCAAGGTTTATTGTTTTTAGGAATCTAGCATAATACACCAGTGTATATTTTTTTTTGGTTGCAGAAGCATAAATACAGGTCAGTTCAGATGCAGCGAGGGCCAGTTGCTGAAATAGGACAGACCAAGCCCCATGAAGAGCTCTGCTAGCTGCAGGACGGCTTAATTCCCGTGTGCTGATTTCCTCCCTCCCCCAATCTATCCGGCTTGGCCTCATAGTTCAGATGTTTGCATCTACAAATAGATCCAAATGCTGTGCAAATGCCATAGTGCTTAATATTCCAATTGAATGTGGATGCCCTCGTTGAACGGTATAGAAGCTCTGAGGTGGGGCCCTTCTGAAGGCAGTTTTTTATAAAATCAGGTTTTTGTTGTTTTTAACCATGAAGAAGGAAAAAAAAATTAAAAAAAAAATCTCGCTTTGGACATTACGGTGTTTTTCAGACTGAAATCCAGAAACCAGTTAAATCGTCATCAACCCCATTTGGAATAATTAACATGAATTCTCCTGCACTCATGTAGGCATTTAATTTTGAGGGATTTTTTTGCAGTATTTTACCATATGTCAGGATTGTAGCAGTTGTCACTGACTTTCTAGGTGTTGCACAAGATACTGCTCTCACTGCAAGTCTATGATTTAACAGTGGAGCTGTTGTTGTTCTCCACAGCTGGAGACTTCCTTCTGATGGACAATACGTGTGGGAGAGGTGGAAGGAGTGTGAGATGCTCGAGTCTGTGGCTCATTCCATAAATAGGGTGAATTTACTTGTCTGAAGCTATGTAGTATAACATGGCACTCTGCCAGTGGCACTTCTTTGCTTGCTTTTATATTTTTCTGGATTATTGGAAACCTTCATTGATATATTAACTACAGCATTATTGTTGCATTCAGCAGATTAAGTTCATTTTAAAGCACCAAAATGCTCACGCGTTAAGCATATCTGGGTCATATTTTGAAGACAGCATTTCTTATTCTCTTTCAGAGGTACATGCCACAGGGTTCAACTACCAAAATGAGGATGAAAAGGTTACTCTTTCCTTTCCCAGTACCCTTCAGAAAGGTAAGAGCTGTTTCCATGCTGGCAGCTTGGCTCAAATGTGTATTTAAGGTGTTTGCTCTTTGAAAAGCTGGAAGACAGTGCTGTCTTCTCTTAAGTTTCTAACTGTGAATGTCAGGCTCCCCAGGGAATCTGTCCGTTTTAAGTCAACAGAAGACTGAAAGAATGGGATTCTTTTAAATATCCATTAGCTAGCCGAATTGAATTGAAGTTAATTCTGGAAGTATTTAAAAGATTGAATTCCCTTAGCTAGTACAAAGAATGCATTGCAAGTAAGTGTTGTAAAGTCGGTATAATTCTGGTTTTGCAGCAAGTATTCTGATCGTATTCTTGACTCACCCATGAATGGATAACACTAGATTTATTTATAACAGGCAGTGCAGATCATTCGCTTGACTTACGAAACCTCCTCCAGGTTTCTTTGATACTGATCTTATCAATAATTTTTGTAGGAAGCATAGGTGATAAAATCACTTTTGCTCTAGGCCATGGAGTTGGAAAGGTTGTTTCATTTATAGTGCTGTTTGCTTCTTACTCCTGAGATGATTCTAATTTACCTGCTATTGGCAGTTAAGCACAGAAGCTATTTATATTAGATACTGATGATCTGTTCGCCGCTTACCGAGGAAGAGCTAATCTGAATTACTGCAGTATTTTCCTAGGTGTGAATGTACTAATTCATTTGAAACAGTGCTACAGTTTTTTGCTCTGAGGGATTTGTAGATTGAAACACAGCTCCACAAATTGAATAAAGCAGTTTTATTCCATCTTTGCAAACACAAATGTAAGGATCTGTGATGGGGAAACCTTAGTGTTTCATTCTGTGGAATATTGGCATGCTGCCTTTCTGATCGAGATCAAGTTTCCCCTTTTGTACAGAGACATCAAGGGCAGAACAAATCCTGATACTAATTGACTTAGAAGCTAGAATGCAACCAGTGCTCCCCCTTGGCTTCTGGAGTAGATTTCTTAGGATGCTATTATTACTTAATAGCCATCCTGTATTTTTGCTCAAAATGTAAGTGTTGACCTGAAAAGTCTCTGCAGGTTATTGCAGTGTGTTTAGGAGATGAGAATGAATATTGCAGGAGCCTGTCACGATTTTTTTTTACCAGTGCCAAAACACCTTTTTTTTGGTGATTCTGGCTTTGCCTGCTTTCCC